TAAAAAAAAAGGTGCAACATTAAATATTAATCCACAACACTTGTAAAAAAAAAAAAATAACAGCAGAAAATAAGGGACAACTGTGACATTACAGAGAACTAGACCTAACTCCAAAATATATTTAAAAAAAGAAAAGCAAGATAAAAGCTTGTCAGGTAGACTGACAAAATGCCGACAGCATAACAGACAGCTGCTGGAATTTTTGCAGGTATTGGGGGTGTACGACAAAATGCAATCTCTTGTATTCTCTATATGTTTGGAATTTGAGTTAAGGTTTCAAGACAAAAGCCTATTTTTAAAAATAAAACAATGATGTTCAGGTGGGTATCACAGTTTGATAAAACAAAAATCTAAATTCGAGGTTTATAATCCCAAACGATTGATTTGGTTAGCAAAAAACAATACGAAACACTGTTCATCACATAATAAATACCATTCGCGTAATACATAGTTACTGGAATAAAAGGGATTTCATTCAAAACCTCCTAAATAGCTGCTTAATTGACCCAGAAACCTTCAGCTGTTTGCTAAACGGCTGAAGATAAAAGGAAGCGTCATTTTTCAGAGTATAGATTATATCAACCATAGATTACAGGTGCTGGTCATAAAATTAGAATATCATGAAAAAGTAGATTGATTTCAGTAATTCCATTTAAAAAGTGAAACTTGTATATTATATTCATACATTACATACAAACTCATATATTTCAGATGTTTATTTTGTTTAATTTTGATGATTACAAATGACAACAAATGAAAATCTCAAATTCATCATATCAGAAAATTAGAATATTACTGAAGACCAATAAAAACAAAGGATTTATAGAAATGTTGGCCAACTGAAAAGTATGAACATGAAAAGTATGAGCATGTACAGCACTCAGTATTTAGTTGGGCCTCCTTTGGCCTGTATTACTGCAGCAATGCGGCGTGGCATGGAGTCGATCAGTCTGTGGCACTGCTCAGGTGTTATGATAGCCCAGGTTGCTCTAATAGTGGCTTTTAGCTCTTCTGAATTGTTGGGTCTGGTGTATTGCATCTTCTTCTTCACAATACCCCATAGATTTTCTATGGGGTTAAGGTCAGGAGAGTTTGCTGGCCAATTAAGAACAGGGATACCATGGTCCTTCAACCAGGTACTGGTAGCTTTGGCACTGTGTGCAGGTGCCAAGTCCTGTTGGAAAATGAAATCTGCATCTCCAAAAAGTTGGTCAGCTGCAGGAAGCATGAAGTGCTCTAAAACTTCCTGGTATGTGGCTGCGTTGACCCTGGACCTCAGAAAACCCAATGGACCAACACCAGCAGATGACATGGCACCCCAAACCATCACTGACTGTGGAAACTTTACACTGGACTTCAAGCAACGTGGATGAAGTGCCTCTCTTCTTTTCCTCCAGACTCTGGGACCTTGATTTCCAAAGGAAATGCAAAATTTACTTTCATCAGAGAACATGACTTTGGACCACTCACCAGCAGTCCAGTCCTGTTTCTCTTTAGCCCAGGCAAGACGCTTCTGACGCTGTCTGTGGTTCAAGAGTGGCTTGACACAAGGAATGCGACAGCAGAAACCCATGTCTTTCATACGTCTGTGTGTGGTGGTTCTTGAAGCACTCACTCCAGCCGCAGTCCACTCTTTGTGAATCTCCCCCACATTTTTGAATGGGTTTTGTTTCACAATCCTCTCCAGGGTGCGGTTATCTCTCTTGCTTGTACACTTTTTTCGACCACATCTTTTCCTTCCCTTCGCCTCTCTATTAATGTGCTTGGACACTGAGCTCTGTGAACAGCCAGCCTCTTTAGCGATGACCTTTTGTGTCTTGCCCTCCTTGTGCAAGGTGTCGATGGTCGTCTTTTGGACAACTGTCAAGTCAGCAGTCTTCCCCATGATTGTGTAGCCTATAGAACTAGACTGAAAGACCATTTAAAGGCTTTTGCAGGTGGTTTGAGTTAATTAGCTGATTAGAGTGTGGCACCAGGGGCCATCAATTTTGAACCTTTTCACAATATTCTAATTTTCTGATATGATGAATTTGAGATTTTCATTTGTTGTCATTTGTAATCATCAAAATTAAACAAAATAAACATCTGAAATATATGAGTTTGTATGTAATGTATGAATATAATATACAAGTTTCACTTTTTAAATGGAATTACTGAAATCAATCTACTTTTTCATGATATTCTAATTTTATGACCAGCACCTGTAGTTCCTAGGGATTAAGAAAATTACCGTCTCTCAAAGAGCCTGGCCTTAAAACATGGCATTTTCCAATCCTTTGAACATCTAGAATACAAAAAACGCAACTGATTAAAAAAAAATAAATGTTCTCAAGTGTTCTTTATACGTTTCTTTCTTTTTAAACAAGTTTTTTTAACTCTCCCTTTAACTGCCAGAAGAACATCAAGCTGTTTTAACTGAGGTTTAACTGAGAAACAAAAATCTGGTCATGTGCAGCCATCTTAGGTCACTTTGCAGATTTTGCCACTGAAGGTGGGAATAAATATTGGGGTGTCTTCTATTTTCTCATAGTTTATTTATTCAGGTTTCATGGTCTAAGAAATCTGTAGTTTGTGGCACTTCTACCCCTTAATAATTTGGTTGTGTTCTATATAATATTTGATCAAATGTCTCAATGTCATGCATTGATTGAGAACCATTTCTCTGAAGGCTGGGAGGTCATTTAAATAGAATATATAATCATTTATACCGCTCAAAAAAAAGGGAACACTCAAATAACACATCTTAGATCTAAATGAAAGAAATATTATCATTGAATACTTTGTTTTTTACAGGGTTGAATGTGCTGACAACAAAATCATCAATAGAAATCAAATGCATTAACCAATGGAGGCCTTGATTTGGAGTCATGCTAAATTAAAGTGGAAAAGGCCACTACAGGCTGATCTAACTTTGATGTAATGTCCTTAAAACAGGTCAACATGAGGTTCAGTATTGTGTGTGACCTCCCTATAGCACCTGGGCATAATCCGGATGATGTGGCAGATGGTCTCTGGAGGGATCTCCTCCCAGACCTCGACTAAAGCATCTGCCAACTTTTGAACAGTCTGTGGTAAAACGTGACATTAGGGGATGAATCGAGACATGATGTCCTAGATGTACTCAAATGGGTTCAGGTCTGGGGAACGGACAGCCAGTCCATAGCTTCAATACCTTCATCTTGTAGGAACAGCTGACACACTCCAGCCACATGAGATCTAGCATTGTTCTGCATTAGGAGGAACCCAGGGCCAACCGTACCAGCATTTGGTCTCAAAAGGGGTCTGAGGATCTAATCACATAATGGCAGTCATTTTTCCTCTGGTGATCACATGAAGGACTGTGAGCACAACCCCAATCTCTGGATACTTGTCCCTCATACCACGCTCATGGAGTCAGTTTCTAATCGTTTGTGCAGACACAGACACAGCAAACCTTCAGCTTAAATTGATGTGCCATCCTGGATGAACTGCACTACCTGGGCCACTTGTGTGGGTTATAGTCAGTCTCATGCTACCACGAGTGCGAAAGCACCAACAACACTCAAAAGTGACCAAAACATCAGCCAGAAAGCATAGGTACTGAGAAGTTGTGTGTGGTCCACTCCTTTATTGAATGTGTCTTGTTAACTGACAATCATTTACACCTGTTTTCTACTCCATTTGTAAAACAGCATTTGAAATTGATTGTCAATCAGTGTTGCTCCCTAAGTGGACTGTTTGATTTAAATGAAAATTGATTTAATTGAAGTTATATTGTATTTTTTGAGCAGCGTATATCTTATCATATATATTAGAAGATGGAGCTAAAATTAAACAATGAGGGTAAAACAATGTTCAGCCATGCCTCATTGTCATGATTTATATAGATCATATACACACCATATAAGTAAAAAGCTATGCCTATTCCTGTTGACTATACAGAAAAACCCTAAATCCTTAATAAGAACTCAATGAATCGGTACATTGATATACTGCTGAGCAGCTCAATTGGAACAATCTTTAAGAAAAAAAAAAAGTCATTTTGTGAGATATTTCATGACAATAAATGGACGGGAGTGATAAAAATTTAAAGACAGGGTAAATTATGGGTTAGCTACAGTACTGTGCTATACAAGTCAGAGTAATGAAAATTCTCATTTTGAGATTTTTGAAGCAAGGGTTCTGAATGCCATTTGCTCATACTTGCTCAGAGACCGATTTCCCCCTTCAAACACTTCTCCATTCAGTTAATAATCTTTCAACCCAGGCTGATGTGAAGCACTCTAGGTGTGCATTAGACCGCGGAGGAGTCGTAAAATTAGCTCCTAAGAACTGACCCAATCCATTGACTGTGTAACCTTGACTCCAGTGCAGAGACAGTCAGTTGACCACTGCCTTATAGGTAGTGGTCATGCTTGAAAAGTCATAGATTCCATTTACTCGATGGCTAAATGGAACCAACATGCTTGCCCACACAGATGTCATTAAAATGTCTAGGGTAGGCTTAGTCTGGCACAGTGTGAGTCGGGGTGTCTCATCTCAGTCAGATACAGAATCTAACTAAGATGAGACATGCACACTCATACAAAAGCAGTCAAAACAGGCACAGGTTACAGTAGCCATAACTAATTTTTTAAGTGTAAAGTAGATCAATCAAACATGTGTGTCAGCAGTTTTAATCCCACTTCCCAGAGAGATTAATTTCCTTTGCATTTAAAGCTACAAATCTAAATTTATTCACTCCAGTTTTTGGCCCAGTCTAAAATTATCTTTTCTTCCAATAAAAGGATAGGTTTTAAAAGTATGTCTTTGGTTCTGGGACTATTTTACTGGCCACTGCTGGAATGGCACCTGGGTCCAATTGTGCTTGGAAAACTGTCAGATATGAGATATGTGTAGATGCATCAATCTGCGGCAGCTAGCAGGATAGGCTGCTACCCTTGGGGTTATTAAATTGCTTCCTTTGTGCTAGACGAGCAAATCCATCTTAAAAACCAGTTGGAAGGAAGTTTGGTACCTACCTTCAGGTTGTGTCTCTCCAGCCTCATTTCCAAAATATTATTCTGCTCCTCCAAACGCTGTCTCTCCTTCTCTAAGTCCTCAATTTTTTGCCTGGAATTTTTAAGCATAAAATATTTTAATGCATGTATAAAAAGATTATGCATATATGCAGCTCATAGAACTGATTATTTAACTCTGGTTAAACAAGTGTTTAACGTATGGATTTGTCAGGAGAAACCTTTAATTTTATAAGACTTAGAATTTAAAATCTACATACAGTTTCTGCAGATATCACTGACATAATTGTACCAAACTTTATTCATCTAACGTCATAGTTTCTTTTAAGCAGATACAACTGCAAACTTAAATTTTAGTCATTTACTTTTACATGTCTTCTGTCCAAGTTTAAGGTCATGTATCATTAAAGCTTTTCCCAGGGTTTTCTCTACCATTATTCAAAAGATCGCAACATACAGTGATTATATGTTTAAAGTTAATGTATTTAATAATAATAATAATAATACAGTTTATTTGTAGGCGCCATTCTTGAGACTCAATGTCACTTTATATTGCATACATAAAAACGCAAGAAAACAGGCACATAGTTAAAACTGTAGAATAAATACAAACGTGATCAAGGAAAAAGTTAAGACATGACAATAAATAAATAAAAATTTAAATCCCTTTATTGTCCCAAAATGGGGAAATTCATTTTCTTTATTTAACCCATCCCCTTAGGGAGCATTGGGCTGCCATTATGTGGCGTCCGGGGAGCAGTGTGGAGTTAAGGGATTTGCTTAGGAACCCAGCGTGCAGGCTCTGGGGATCGAACCGGGTACTTGCAACCTTCTGAGAGCACAAGATTTACTGATCTAACCCACTAGGCCAACACTCCCTCTTAAAGACACTAATTAGAAAGTTTGAAAAGGTGAGTTTTGGGCTCTGATTTAAGAACTGATTTTTTGTGTTTTTTTTTGGGAAGCTACAACATCTGTTGGTTAAAGTCTCTTCACAAGTGCTGTTTGTTGACCTACTCTTCCAAGTTCTTACGAAATAATGAATATCCAAACACACAACCGTAAAAACTATACCCGAGAACACAGAGGGAAAAAAACTTAATATAATGCACATTTTTTTTAAAGCTTTTACATTAAAATTATGAAAGTATGACTGCAAAAAAAAAATGAGAAAAGCCAACTGGTCTTTGAGTTTAGTACCTCAGTATGTTGACCTCTTCTTTGTTCACTAAAGAGCTGCCGTCAGCTGCAGAGGTCAGCTCCTTCTTTACATTGTCCAATTCAAACTCCACCTAGAACAGACAAAAGAAAAATAAAATGATCTGGGGGAACCAACGTCACCCCACCTTTGGTCAGAAATCCAGCAGAAACATTTAGGCTGCAGACAAATTCTTTGGACTCTCCGTTATCAACTACCATCTCACGGCACATAGAGAACCATTCAGCAGATCCTTCACACACCATTAGTCCTATTACTCTGTTTTATAATGTCCTCTTCGCTTTTGTTACCACAGGTTTTAATCCGTCTGTCTCTCAGTTATTTCACCATTCTTGTTCTGCAATTATGTCTCATTTACATTTGCAAACCAATTTTCCTCCTAAAAGCATCTGTCTGTCTTTCAGCATATCCTCTATTAAAGTCTTCCCATGACGAATAAGTAATTACTGCTATATCAGACAGGTGGATTTTATGCGTCACTACTCTTTGCTTTGGATGTGTTGATGTTACCTTTGCAACAAGGGGCCACAAAAATAATAAGAGGTGAAGTAAAGACAAAAACCTTCAAACTCTAAGGCTGCCAACACTAGCTTGTTATATTAACTCAGTACTAAAATATATCTCTCTAAATAATGTTTGGCAAAGTATGATAGAATGTATCCAAAGTAAGTTTTGTCACATCAGAAAAATAATGTTGGTCAGTGACCTGATGTTTATTATGGATAATACTGAATACAATCAATAGCTATGTTTACATGCAAGCAAAGCGCCAACTGAAAACAAAAATGTGTTATTCAAACAAACAAACCAGAATATTATGCACCAGTAACGCCTCACCACTCTCAAAAACCGGGAATGGTTTGATTCATGATGCTTAGCACAGCCAGGTCCAACACATCTCCACACTGTTTGCATTTGTCGCTAGGGATGTCCCGATAAAATATTCTAATTTCTGATACAATACTATTTAGAGGTGTAAATCACATCCATCATGGTGATTCGATTCAGTATCGATTTCCTGACCCAACGATTCGATTATTTACGATACTCAAGAATACACCACGATGCGATTCGATTCAATTATTCGGTTAATTCTTTTTTTTTTTTACACCTTACAGGCTAAACAAAGTTTCAAGTTTGAAATAAATCAATGAAAGCTGTAATATCGTTATGCATTTTTTTTTTTGGAAACAACAGCAAATAACAGAAGTAGAAAAGTTGCATCAAAGAATAAAGCAAAAATACTGCACAAAATCAGTGCAATGAGTGCAATGCAATACCACGGCTCCAGACGTCCCTGCCCCCTTGAGAGGGCACCTCTCCCAAATTGTAGCTGACCGCAAACAGTGCCGCAGACAGGAGGCCAGCTTGTTTTGTTTTTATGACCGAAATTGCGGAAAACAACTCATGAAGTTTGACCCGCTAGAAGAGCGAGGTGCGCGAGAACGCTGGGACCCTTTTTCCACCTGGATCTCCGCTCTTTTTGGCCCTCATGTCCCTCCGCCGTCGGACTAAACTCGCCCCCACTTCCTCACCGCCTCGGCCGTATCTAGACCCACAGTGTGTAGCACAGACCACGCTTCAATATTGAGCATAATTTAAAAATGTCTGTGTCAAGCTTAATTTTAACACATGTTTGCGCAAATGTTCTTAGTAGCATAGATTTAGAGAAAATTACCCATTATATATACTCTTGGTCTTGGCTTATCTCCTCATTCTGATTCAGTGTTTAGGTCTTTGAACTAGATACAGAAAAGCATGTTTATTTTGGGTGTGCTGGAACATTTCTGTTCTGATTTGACCACTTCAATTCTTTACAGGAAGATTAGTTTTCTAGGACTAATACTACCTCCCTGCTTTTATATTGCAATCACTGAAGGTCCAATGTTCAACAACTTCCATGTATCCCGGCTTCCACACCTGAGTCCAAATGATGAATTGCATCCTTAGTATGCAATCAAGTTCTCCCAAGTCCTGGTATAGACCAGGTGTGTCATTGATAAAATATTGCACATGATCCATACTAAAAGTGTACACATGCCGAACATCCAAAATCGGTGAATGTTAAAAACAATACTGTGCCGATACAAAACAAAGCAATTATCTTCCTTTTACATTGTTTTGATGGATACCTGCCACATTTCCTATGAATTCTTTAATCTAGCTCTGCCAGAAGTTTAATATTTTAAGCCTAACTTTGTTCATTTATTTCATTTGGGATTGGTTGTATTTGATGAAACCCACTAACAATAGAGAACAAAATCTCATTTCTCTGTTTACAAAGATTAAACATCACAACCTTTATATCTAGTTGAATGGAAATGAGGGGCAGTAACAATGCCAGGGAAGCGAATGTCGTGGGGATATCATTCTTGGCACAGCATCTGTTGCAATGCTTTTTTTCCTCGAGCTGTGACAATCAGCCTAGCACCTCACCGCAGCCGGAGTCAGGTCATTTAAAATAATAGAGTAAGTAATAAGGTATAGGTAGCTGCAGCGTTAGTTGTATAGATCTGTCTTAATGAGGTTTTAAACAATTCTTAATGTGAAAGTTTGACCTTGTGAAAAGGAAATTATCCAGATTGATATTATCGTTCTTAAGTTTGATATTTATATTCTGGTTGGAAATAACATTTCGATAACTAAGAGTAAAGTTTATAAGAATTTAAATGTTCATAAAAGGAAGTTCAATTAGAAAGAACTCTGGTTAGCCAGCTCATTTAAAACATTGAAACCTTTATGACCCTTCTTCCTCACATAGGTGGAATTGAGAATCGATTAGAACCAGAATCAAGACAACAAATCAGAAGTTGGGCTGTATGACAAGATTGTTTTAGTATTTCGTGAGCACTCTATACCCATGTTATGGCCACAAATAAGTACTTTGAAGGAGTGAATTAATGTATTTTGTGCAAGTATTATATATTCTGCTGTCACAAATTAGTATTTAGTGCACACAAAGAGTTTTTCGAGGGCATCAATGAGTTGCAAGGTTTTTTGTTTTTTTTCCTCAAGAATCATGTCATTGAGTCATTTTCCATTCACCGACTCATCCCACTGTGTTCTTTGATTCCTCTTTCCGGTGCCAGACTGTTGGTGCCTTTGTCCAAACAGGTGTGGGATATAATTTAAACCACTGGCAGGTAGGGGAAGAGGGGCACAGACTAGAGGGAGAGACTAGACTATCAAAGTAAAAAAAAATTACAAACTTCCTTTTTTTTATTCTATACATTTTCTCAATTAAATATGAAGTATGAAGTATATGAACCTTGTTTGAAGAAGTTGCCATTTTGGTCAATAAAGTCAAGCTTTCACAACATCATAAAACAAAAGAAAGACAAAAAGCCAAATTCAAAAGATTACAACAGAAAGCAGCATTTAAACAAGAGAGCAACATGACTCAGGAGGATAACATCAAGGTTGAAGACAAGTGGGTAAAAAACCTATCTAGCAGACCACTGACAAAACCAGAGATGGATGTACTGAGTAAAGGCCTGAATTTTGCCATTGCTCCACAAGAAGTACCCATTGTGGAACTGATCACGACCACTGAATCGGCCATCAGGAACAACAACCTGGCTGAAACGGAGGCAGAGCAACTCAGAATGAAGGTAACAGCCACCCTGTCCAGCGCCAAACCACCTCCTTCCAACCTCACACCCCAGGAAATGAAAGCCATAACATCCCTGAGCCAGGACCAAAGCATCACCATATTACCAGCAGACAAAGGAAGATGCACCGTAGTCCTCAACACCTCAGACTACCAAGACAAAATTATCACTCTACTGAAGGACACTGATACGTATGAATCCTTGAAAAGAGATCCAACCAGCGGCTACAAAAAGAAAATAATAGACTATCTCAAACAACTTGAAAAAGACAAGGTAATTAACAGCACAGCCTATTTCAGATTATATCCAGGGGAGGAAATTCCATGCTTATATGGACTTCCAAAAATTCACAAAGAAGGGGCACCACTCAGGCCCATTGTCAGCAGCATTAACTCAGTAACATACAACATTGCTAAACAGCTTACTAATATCTTAGCTCCCTTGGTGGGGAACACACCACATCACATAGAAAACTCCAAAGACTTTGCCAACAAAGCCAAACATTTAAGGATGGCTCCAGGAGAAACCCTGGTATCGTTTGATGTTACTTCACTTTTCACATGCATACCTATAACAGAGGCAGTGGAAACAGTCAGGACACGTCTTGAACAAGATAGTGATTTAAACAACAGGACTAATTTCACTCCGGACCAGATCTGCACACTACTGGGCCTTTGTCTTTCCACAACCTATTTCAAATTCAGAGGTAATTTTTACAGACAGAAACATGGCTGCGCAATGGGATCTCCAGTATCACCAATTGTAGCAAATATTTACATGGAAGAAATGGAAAAGAGAGCTTTAGACACTTTCAATGGAATACCACCAAGCCACTGGTTTAGATACGTGGATGACACTTTCGTCAAAATCCAGCTAGAGGAAGTGGAAGCTTTCACCAAACACATCAACGCTGTTGACCGCAACATCAAATTCACCAGAGAGGATGCCAAGGACAACAAACTACCCTTTCTGGACTGCCTGGTGAGCATGGAAGGAGATGGAAGCCTAAACATTGAAGTTTATAGGAAACCTACTCACACAGACCAGTATCTTCTTTTTGACTCACACCACCCACTGGAACACAAACTCTCAGTCATCAGAACCTTACAACACCGGGCAGAACATGTCCCCACTAAAACAGATGGGAAGCAAAAAGAACAGAAACACATCAAAGATGCTCTCCGAAACTGTGGATATCCAAACTGGGCTTTTATCAAATCAGCAAGGAAATCCAAAAGACACGCAACAGAAGACAGCGATGGGAAAATTAAACGCAAAAACATCACAATCCCTTATGTTGCTGGAGTGTCTGAAAAGCTCAAGAGGATTTTCTCCAAACACAAGATCCCAGTACATTTCAAGCCAAACCAAACCCTTAAACAGAGCATCCGAAAGATAAAACCCCCAGACCAAATATGAGCGGAGTGGTATACAGGTGCTGGTCATAAAATTAGAATATCATGAAAAAGTTGATTGATTTCAGTAATTCCATTTAAAAAGTGAAACTTGTATATTATATTCATACATTACATACAAACTCATATATTTCAGATGTTTATTTTGTTTAATTTTGATGATTACAAATGACAACAAATGAAAATCTCAAATTCATCATATCAGAAAATTAGAATATTGTGAAAAGGTTCAAAATTGATGGCCCCTGGTGCCACACTCTAATCAGCTAATTAACTCAAACCACCTGCAAAAGCCTTTAAATGGTCTTTCAGTCTAGTTCTATAGGCTACACAATCATGGGGAAGACTGCTGACTTGACAGTTGTCCAAAAGACGACCATCGACACCTTGCACAAGGAGGGCAAGACACAAAAGGTCATCGCTAAAGAGGCTGGCTGTTCACAGAGCTCAGTGTCCAAGCACAAAAATAGAGAGGCGAAGGGAAGGAAAAGATGTGGTCGAAAAAAGTGTACAAGCAAGAGAGATAACCGCACCCTGGAGAGGATTGTGAAACAAAACCCATTCAAAAATGTGGGGGAGATTCACAAAGAGTGGACTGCAGCTGGAGTGAGTGCTTCAAGAACCACCACACACAGACGTATGAAAGACATGGGTTTCTGCTGTCGCATTCCTTGTGTCAAGCCACTCTTGAACCACAGACAGCGTCAGAAGCGTCTTGCCTGGGCTAAAGAGAAACAGGACTGGACTGCTGGTGAGTTGTCCAAAGTCATGTTCTCTGATGAAAGTAAATTTTGCATTTCCTTTGGAAATCAAGGTCCCAGAGTCTGGAGGAAAAGAAGAGAGGCACTTCATCCACGTTGCTTGAAGTCCAGTGTAAAGTTTCCACAGTCAGTGATGGTTTGGGGTGCCATGTCATCTGCTGGTGTTGGTCCATTGTGTTTTCTGAGGTCCAGGGTCAACGCAGCCACATACCAGGAAGTTTTAGAGCACTTCATGCTTCCTGCAGCTGACCAACTTTTTGGAGATGCAGATTTCATTTTCCAACAGGACTTGGCACCTGCACACAGTGCCAAAGCTACCAGTACCTGGTTGAAGGACCATGGTATCCCTGTTCTTAATTGGCCAGCAAACTCTCCTGACCTTAACCCCATAGAAAATCTATGGGGTATTGTGAAGAAGAAGATGCAATACACCAGACCCAACAATTCAGAAGAGCTAAAAGCCACTATTAGAGCAACCTGGGCTATCATAACACCTGAGCAGTGCCACAGACTGATCGACTCCATGCCACGCCGCATTGCTGCAGTAATACAGGCCAAAGGAGGCCCAACTAAATACTGAGTGCTGTACATGCTCATACTTTTCATGTTCATACTTTTCAGTTGGCCAACATTTCTATAAATCCTTTGTTTTTATTGGTCTTCAGTAATATTCTAATTTTCTGATATGATGAATTTGAGATTTTCATTTGTTGTCATTTGTAATCATCAAAATTAAACAAAATAAACATCTGAAATATATGAGTTTGTATGTAATGTATGAATATAATATACAAGTTTCACTTTTTAAATGGAATTACTGAAATCAATCTACTTTTTCATGATATTCTAATTTTATGACCAGCACCTGTATGCTGTTCAGTGCAGTGAGGAATGCTCTGATCTTTATATTGGAGAAACCAAACAACCTCTCCACAGACGCATGGCCCAACACAGAAGAGCGGCCACCTCTGGACAAGACTCCGCAGTACACCTACACCTTGTGGACAAAGGACATTCTTTTGAGGACCAGAATGTCCATATTCTGGATAAAGAAAATAGGTGGTTTGAGAGGGGCGTGAAGGAAGCCATCTATGTTAAGAGAGAAAAACCAACTTTAAACAGAGGTGGTGGACTGAGATTCCAGCTTCCAAAAACATACAATTCAATCATAGACATGATCCCTTCCAGATATCACCAAACCCCCCACCCCATCACAGAGGAACGAGGGACTTACCCGCTCCAGCCGGTGAACAATACCTCCTTAACGACCAACCCTTAACAATCATAGACAGGTTTCAGGTATTACAGGAGACAATCCCCCCTTAATGACAATCCCCCCTTTAACGACCGACCCCTAGAATCATAGACAGTTTCAGATATTACAGGCTAACGATGGAACTAACGACCCATTCATCGGTTTCTATTGCATGTTTCCAAGCGATACAAGGCGTTGTCTATATAAGACTCAAACTCACTGCGGATCCAGACATTTGAATTGAGAAAGCTTCCTGGAGGGGTGGCGAAACGTCTTCAAATGTTGAAAACCAAGTCCAGTGGATATTTTTTGAATTTTTACGGAATTAAATATGAAGAAAATGAATAGCAAAAATATGAATTGTTTTCTTCAAACTGCAATATTTGTGATAGCCAATAAACAATACTGAAGAGAAAAAAAATTATGCTTTGATACTAAAATTCTTTAAAAGGTGTTAACTATCAGCCCATTAACATCTGGACCTGTATCAAAACCCAAACGGCTGTCTTTGGTGTTAGGAGATGCCAATAACTTTGGTGTCAGAATTTAAGCAAGAAAAACCGAATGCTACCTTCTTAAAATGTTATCATAAGGCCTTTTTACTGAAGGACACCTAGTAAATTGTGGAGGGCACAGTATACTTACTTTCTGTAGCTTTAGTTTCAGTTCCCCTGTCTCCTCTTGTGCCTTGGTAAGCTGCGCCTGAATTGACAAAAAAGTGTTTTCTAATAGAAAAAGTGAACATTTTAAGTAATCTAAGAATAGACAGTATAAACTGAAAATACAGATGAAGATTGGGCAAGTGACAACCTGCATGCGTTCTTTGTATCAACTTTTTCTTTTTTCCATTTAATTTGTTCATTTACAAAATACAATTAATGACAAAACTGTAAAGTTCCAAAATATATTGGAAAGAATACATACGTTTAGTCTGAAAAGGTTAAATCAACTAGACATTAAAAAAAAAATCTCTAAAGCCATCACGCACCTCCATCTCTGTATTGTAAGTTTGTGTCCTCTGCATAACTTCTTCTGCTTCTCTGACTCGTTTGCTGAGTTGAGGAGAGTACTCATTTGATGCCAGTTCACTGTCATAAGATTCCAATATAGCACGCATGCCATCACGCTCCTGACAAAAAACAACAACAAATCAAACAATCATTTCTTTCTGATATTTTCTTAGCAAAAATTAACAAACACAGGCAGGGTTACAAAAACTCTGCCTAAATAAAGCAGTTTACTTTTGACAGGATTTTAACAATATTCACTTAATTTTGTTGAAAGGATAAGAAATTTTGGCTGGAGGCAGGGCAACACATAAAAAGCGGTGACGTTTATTTCCACAGTGACAGTAAACTTTGCCTTTTATAGAAGAACAGTGAATGTGTGTGTTGCTTACCTCTGCTCAGGCTTAAGGTTTGAGTGTTAAAACCACATTAAATTAAGCTGGGCAACTCAAAAATACCAACAAATGTATAAATACAATCATTAAAAAATTGCAGTTTGCTGTCAGTCTTAGAGGATTTTTACTTGTTTTCAGTTTTTCTGGGCCTGCTTATGAAAAATGCTGTAGATGACTGTAACATTAACTGATTATTTGCACGCTTGAGCGAATCCATGCTTTTTTTTTTTCTTTTTTTTTTTTGTAGTAGGAAGAAGCAGGAACTGGGGAAAACCTGCAACAGCTTTTCTCTGCCAATGGCACAAGAGGTGAAGTCTTTGCTAAGCAGCTGCTCCTCCAGTGGGTGCATGCATAAAAGGAACAGCATGATTGCCAAAGAGCCATGGGAGGTAGTGATACCTCCACTGCCTGCCACTGCACACACAGGCTGCTAAACAGCCTAAAAGAAGTAAAGCAGATGGAGAAGAGACACCTGAAGCATAACAGTGACCAAAGAAGAAGCAAATTGCATGCGAATACTGGCATGTCCTACTACAAATGGAGAGCTTTGAGGGAATAGCCTGAGACTAGATTTGGACTCAAAATTGTCTGTAGCTCTGCTTGACAGGTAACTTTTCATTATTTATCAGTCCTAAGCTTACTCACTTTCTGCTTTAGAAACATTTTATCTGTAACTGTGAAGATATGTGAAATGGTGCTCTGGAGGGTTTTACACAAGCTTGAGGCACGTGTTTAGCCTTGTGCATGTCCAAGAGAAGGAGGGTTTCTTATAGAGAAATTAAAATAAAATAAAGTTCACCAAATGTAGAATCAGGTATTGTACATTTAAGGTGATTATAGTAATAACAATTGTCTGTGTATGAACAGACCAGTACCCTCTTTTAAATGTGTCCATAGTTGTAGCATTTTTTTCAACAGTGACACATCTCAGGGAAATGTTTGATTGTCAAGTGTAAAATGCTGAGGAAAATTTCAGCTGAAAACAAGAGTTCAAAATGTCTTTTGACTGAACTTCTGCTCACGTAAGTCAAATCCTTAAAGACAAGAATATTTTGCTTTTTAAACACTTCCGAGCTTATAGCCCCTGAAATGTTTGCATTGGTGCTAATTGTGTTATGTTAAAACAAGATCATCATCAGGTACATTGACAAAAAAAAAAAAAAATCTAAACTATGCCTCATTATGCATTGGACATTGAAAGATATCACAAAAAAAACAGCAATTTGAACAAATGGTAAACTTGGTTTATGGCTTTTTTTCAAATCCTTAAAAGTTTTTAATAATAAAGCCATATCTACCCAGCTACTAAACCACAACTTCCATAAAAGACTACTCTTCCAAGTGAGCTATAGCCATTACATGTGGACCGCTGCTACTCAATCAGCAAGTCTAAATTAAATCATGTTACAATTCCCTTAATATTAATTTGTAATATTTTATTGTCTGTATTGAAGAGAATTTACTTAGATGCCTAAAACTCAGCTTTCTGATTAATTTGGGTTGTACGTCTGCTTGAGGGAACTTTAATGCCCCTTTGACCATCGACAGTCACAGCTCCACACCATCTCATTCATTTTTACAATGAATGGAACCGAATGGGGGAATCAAATGGGGATTTGATTGGTGTCTTTTTATGGAAATGTATCCGTCCATGTACAGCCTATAAAATGGCAGGCAGCCTTTGAATATAAAAATATCAATGTTAAGGAGGCAGAAAAAGAATAATATTGAAAGCAACATTGACTAGATTAAGGATAATGTTTGATAAAGAAGTTGATACGAGAAATTACGTTTCCATCTGTGTGCATAATGCAGAGTTTCTTTTGAAAGGTGTGATTCTTGCAGGTTTGTCCAATCCCAATAACATATGCCCATATTACTTTTAATGTATTAACCATAGAGTGAAAGAATCTAAGCAAGAACGCAGATCAACAAGCTATTTCTTTCAACATTCAGGGTCGTCTTGTTAAAACATGGTTGCCTTGCAGCACAAGAGTCCTATAAGTAGGTTAGCCAAAACCCAGAGAGTTTTCAAGTCTTTCTGCATCGAGTTTTCATGTTTCCCCTTGTGCATGTCTTTTATTTAAGAGCCTTTTATTGCCATTTCTATAAATGCAAGAAAAAGATCGATCTTAAACCAACTCCAGAAAGCATTATTGCATCTGAATAAGTTAAGGGCTTTACTGTATAATATTTATTTATTTCCAACGGGCTGTAACAGACCTGTGATCCTTTGCCGCATGTCTATCCCTCTCTCATGTCCCCTTTCCTGTCAGTCTGTCGAAAAAACAAGCCAATAGTGTCGTAAAAACTAAAAACATTAAAAAAAGATATACATTTAAGTTTAATACATTTTCTTTTTACTAGAGATAAATGTCTCATTTAAAGTATTTTGGGGACTATACTTTAAACCGGTAAAAAAATAAATAAATAAAAAAATACAGTGGAATTGGGATTCTAAACACTTTTATGTCGCAGTCATGTCTGTTTTGTCCTTTACTGTTTTGCTTTCTGATAGGATGGAGCACACGGAACCACCTTAAGAGAATTTGCTGCATTCAGCATCTTTTGTTAGAGCCGTCATTCGAGGCACCTTGAAACATTTCTACTATCTTTGGGTAAACTGATCACTTTACATTGTATTAAAAAAAACACAAAAAAACGAGAGAACATTTAAAACTAAACGGAAGGCAAACCAGATGCTTCAAACTTTAGGAGACCAGAGAAAAGGTACCCGTTCTCTCAGGAGATTAGAAATATTATAGACTAGCATGTTCAAGATAAAGACTACAGGATAATCTCCAAGCAGCTTGATGTACATGTGACTACAGTTGCAAACATGAAATATCTGTTATTCAGATATTTAAGATTAAAGGGACTGTAGCCAACCTACATAGATGTAGTCCCATGAGAAAAATTTATTTAAAAAAAATCAAAGACACAGATAAAACAAATGGTAACAAAAGATCCCAGAAGAGTATTTCTAAAGGGATTAAAGATACACTTCAAGCTGAAGGAAGTTTATCTTTGTGGTGTCAAATCCCACCATCCATCATTGTTTGAGCTAAAGTGGACTTAATGGGAGACAAGAGGACACAACAGTTGGAAAAAATGATTATCATAAAAAAAAGAAATGGAGTGAAATTAACCAAACTACATGCTGACAAGCCACAAAACTTCTAAGAAAAAGCCCTATGGACAGATGAGACAAATTGTATATTTTTGCCAGGTACTTTAGCTTTATGTTAACAAATGGAGAAAAAATGAAGAGCAATGTCCCTACAGTAAAACATAGAAAAGGCTCCATTGTGCTCTGCAGCTGCTTGGCTTCATCTGGCTCAAATCTCTGCAGGGAACAACAAAACCTCAAGGCTACCAAGGGATTCAAGAGAGATATGTGATGCCCAGCACCAGCCACTCGTCATTGGTCTTGCAACAGGGTTGAGCTTAAACACACAGCGAAAAACCCCTTCTGAAGTGGCCTTCTATGAGCTCGTGACTTAAATCCTATTGAGCATCATTTGGGAGGAGTTAGAAACATGCTGTCTGGAAAAGGCATCCTTCCAACCTCAGACAAAGGTGCAGTTTGCTAATGGCAGGTTCATACACCTTTATCATGGTCAATTTCTCTTTTTTTATTAATAACTGTGGCTCTACGCTCTTGCAGGAGGAGTGAATACTTCTTTTCAAGACTCAAAACAAGCTGTTGGGTTTCCTTAGAGGGGAAAATCCTTGCCAATCTGACTGGAGGATTTGATTGTATTGACTTTGAAAAGTGCCTTGAGATGACAAAGTGAATAGGGGATATATAAATAAAAGCAAATTGATGTTAGGATATTTCCACCCTGCATGATTTTCAGCAGACATTTGTCAAAACCCTATTAGAAAAATGCAAAACAGCTCGTCAACACCTATAAAATGGGACGCAATGCTTGAAATCAATAAAACTTTTAATCTTTGTTGAGAAGTCTTAATAATTTTGAATATGCCATATTCTAATAGATTAAAAATATTAAATTGTTCCAACTGCTTATACATTCTTAAATTTTTTTAAGAATACCCATTTCCTTAATATACGTCTAGAACAGATAATTTTAGCTGCAACTTTTTTTGATCACGATACCATACCATGGGATGAAAAGTGGTAAATTGCAGTTTTGAAGCGGAGTTGACCGGATTCATTGTCTCCCTGCTAAATACGCACTTCTGGTGCAGTGAATACAAACTCTGGTGGGAATCATTCGTTTGGACTGACACCTTATCAGAATCACCCGATGCTGCCATATCTAAAGCAGCGCTTCTTTATCACGTTAACCTAGTATGTAGCTAGTAGTTAGCATAAATAAAACAAAAATGGGGTAGCCAGTGACTGTGTGACTTGTATTTCACTTGCCATGGATTATATTTTATATTTTCCAGCCACTGTTTATAAAAATGACATCCTACATGGTGGATCGACCATTTGTCCACTTGTAGGCTACATCGTCATGACAGAAGACTGTTAAGACGCGAACGTGAAAGCTTGCACCAGATGCAGACAACGTGGTTAGCATTGTTTTCTTTTTTACTCTCTCTTTAAAAAGTGGTTTATTATGGAGATTTCTACTTGTTGGGAAATATTTATGATTACAACATAAAACATTTACAAGCATTTTAAAAAAATCAAAGCATTACATTTCAAGCACTGAGGAGTGGGCCAATATGCCTGCTGAAAGGCGCTGAAGTCT